AGGGTGTGTAATCTAGATACATCAGTGATTAAAGTGTTTTGGTACCTGAGTCTATTTAGCCTCTGCTCTTGCATTTCCTCTTAAGCCTCACCACACTGTCAGATGGTTTATTTTCTGTACTTCTCTCAGGTTTGGTCATGCCTGAAACTGTTTTGCTTCTCCTCATAATGGATTGAGGTTACTGTGCAGTAACACATTCTCTTCCCTAGGTCCGCTGGAGGAGCACTTAAGGTTTAAAAGCCAACCTGGGAATTAAGGGTTAATAAGAGGTGGGAATAGGCTGGTTATACAGGGAACAGTTTAGAGTCTGAGCCTGGCAGCTGAACAGATGAGCTTCTGGACAGGGTGACAAGTGCCCCTCTCCCCTAGTACAAAGAGTGATGAGACACTGAGGAGGGAAATAAAGAATAAAAAATAATAATAGTGACACATGAATACAGTCAACTGTGAAGCCCAATTGTGTGTGTCAGGAAAAAATTGAAAACTCCTTCATGATATTTTATAATATTTTTCCATATAGGGGTGGTGGGGATTTTTGCCAAGTAGTTGCAGAATTATGAAATTCTGCCGGTTAATAAGAGGTGGGAATAGGCTGGTTATACAGGGAACAGTTTAGAGTCTGAGCCTGGCAGCTGAACAGATGAGCTTCTGGACAGGGTGACAAGTGCCCCTCTCCCCTAGTACAAAGAGTGATGAGACACTGAGGAGGGAAATAAAGAATAAAAAATAATAATAGTGACACATGAATACAGTCAACTGTGAAGCCCAATTGTGTGTGTCAGGAAAAAATTGAAAACTCCTTCATGATATTTTATAATATTTTTCCATATAGGGGTGGTGGGGATTTTTGCCAAGTAGTTGCAGAATTATGAAATTCTGCCCTGCAAAAGCCTGATACTGCTATATAGCAGGTGGCTGCTTTGGTGTATCAGAAGTTGAGAATTTTCAGTCATCCAAGTGTAGCTTTACAAGGAAATTTCCTTTACAAGGTAAATGCATTTCTTTGTCGGCTGATGAAATAGTTGGATTGTGAACAAGGTGACTGAAAGCTTGGAAAACAAAAGGGAGTGACAAGAGAGAAGTTGCTGGGGGGGTGGAAAAAGTGATAGGGGAGGCTTATAACGTTGGCAGCTGAACCAAGACAGTAACTGTGCAGGTCTGAAAGAGGTTTCTGTGGAGAACAGTTGTCTTCTGTCAGGGAAGAACAGCAGCTTTTTGAGGCTAACCTCCTTACATGGTTTTGGGGCCTAATAATGGAGGAAAGATGAATTTGTGTCCATTGGTAGGAGAATAGGGACTGGGAAGTTTACCATAATTTTTGTCTTGTGATGGCTTTCTGCTCGTCTGGAATTAGTTTTGTTTGGTAAAATGACTTTACTGTTCTTTGTAGTCAGTGGGTTCGTCAGTTGAGGATATTTTAAAATGTTATAGAGAATTCATTGCTCAGATGTGGAGGGAATATTCCCCATGTTTTCCTACTGGAAATCAAACTCTTGTTGGAAAAACTCCAATCATAAGTTTTTAAGACTAAGTTGTTAAGTTATGAAACGGGTTGTATTTCATAGACTGGAGAAAGTCAGCTAAACCCTGGGAGATCAGCAGAGGGAGGAGAATGACGGTAAATCAGCAGTGTAATAGAGCTGTGAAAACAGAAAATGTCATGCAGTGATGGCTGAATCTCCAGCTGATGCGGGGAAGTTACAGCAGAGACACTGGTGAACTCCTCTCTGGAACAGTGCCTCCCGTGCTGACCACGCTGGTTCAGCAGCATGACCTAAAGCTGGAAAAACTGCTCAGAAGGGCAACATGAAGAGCCTGTCGTACGAGAGGAGAAAGATTGACTTTCTTTGCTTATCTCTAGCTGCTCGGTAGAGAGTAAAAGAATCTGATTGCCATCTAGAAATACTTTTAGGGGGGAATACAGGTGGGAAACGCTGTTTAAGCCAAATAAGTGTGTTGCAGAAATCGGTAGATATAATTTGGCCTTGAAGACATCATCGTTAGTTAAAAGATGTAGATTCCTAACTGTTGGAACAACAGTGAAACCATTCTGGAAGAGCTTCTGGACGGGCCATTGGGTCAAAACAACTAAGTACTTCTATGAAATTAAGAAGTTTGCAAAGAAGAGTAGTATAAGATGCCTGCAATGCACCTGGACGTGAAGAAGATGGCTTTTTTTTGTTCTTGATTAATAACGGGCAGAACATAGGGTTTGTACAGTTTCAAAGAGCCAGGAAAATATTCGGAATTTCTATGCATTAAGAAGTCTGTACCTTTTAAAAGATAACATGACTTCATAAAATTCAATTTAGTGCCAAAATTTTTGTTATTTTATAGCAGCCTAAATTAGCATCCTCATTGGTAGTCTCTGGAAGTCAAGGCTGTCGTGAACACTGTCCCAGTCCTAGCTGGTCCCTCAAGGCCAGGACTAATTTGTGGTGCTTGGGCTGTGCAGGGTCAGTGCTCCTGCTGGAATCACTCTCGGAATTGATAAAAGATTTCACCGTCCTCTGCTGAAAATGGGTAGGGAAATACAGCACCATTTGTGAGCAGAGAAATTAGTCTTGAGTTGAAATAAATGCTACTACAATGTGTCCATGAAAACTCCCAAGGCAAAGGAAATACAGTGTAATTGTGGGACAGCTTCATGTGTTATAAATGCAATTCCGATTCAAACCTCATTCTAAAAATCTGCATTAGGCTTTAAATACAGAATTGCATTTCAAGATTACACGGTAAAGCATTTAATTTTCTTAATTTAATTTTCAGTCTGCTTTGATCATACGGCAGCAGTTAGGCAAAAACTTCCTTACTCTGCCTTTTGCCTCTACAATAAAAGATAAAGTTTTATTATTGTCAGTCTCCAGGAAAAGAGTAATTATTTTTAAAATGAAAAGTATGTCATCTACACATGAAGTCATGCAAGCTTCCGTAGCACAAATGATGTTAATATAAAACAGATATTTAGAAAACAATTCAATAACCCCCACCATCCCTGGAAGCTGTGGAAGAATCTTAGATACTCTTTACTGTTTCTATTTGCTATTGACATGCAAATGTTTTATTTCTTGTCTGACCTGAAAAGAGGATGTAGGTGTAAAAGGCAAATCATTATTTCCAGTTTTGTGATATCACGTAGAAATGTTAGGTCTTGTATAAGAATGATGCCCAATGGAGTAAAGAGGCAAAGTGAAGTCAAGCTCGAGGTCTTTGCAGGTGCTGGGTGTATGTTTGTGTATTTAGATACACACTCAGGGGGTGTGTGTTTGTGCACGTGCCTGATGACAGCACAACCCATTTGGTTCTGCAACTGCACAATAAGCTTTATTTGCATTATTAAATCTTGAGATACAAAGTTTTCTTTAATAACCTAAACCAAATCCCCAGAAGTACAAACTTTAGACTACATGTGATGTTTTAACAACTTATTTAAGATGTATTAGGTGCTGGCCTTGTTATTGCTGATGAAATACATACATACATACATATATAAGAGCATATACATCTGTATGCACACAGTTCTTTGCCTTTTTTTGTTCCAAATGAAACATTTGCTTTGCAAACATATTTTTTTTTTACTTTGCACTTCATCTGTAGTGTGCACATTTTGATTTATATGGACCTGACTGTTAAGTATGTGTTTCTTAAAATGTTCTTCAAGTAGAGCTGGGACACAGAATGACAATGAAGGACAAGATAGGAATTCAAAATAATTTTGATAAATAGAAATCCCAGTCAGGAATGGAGTTACCCCTCAGGAATGTTATAGGTAAAGCTTATTCTGCCTTATGGCCTGGTGATGGACTACATGACCTTTCAAATTCTCCTCGAGCCCTGTTTTATGATTCTGTGATCAATTCATTTTGGCATTTGACAGCTGCTGTACATATACTGTAGATAATTCTATTGCCTTTAATACTTTTAATGATTTTTGAATTTATATATCTTGCATATGAAACACTAACTGCATTTAAAATGTATTCTTATTTATTTGAAGACAACAATAATAAAGGATATAGGTCTCGTTTGGCTGTTTAGCAAACACCTATTCTTTCCAGCCTAAAACATAATACAGTTTCTATGAGAGGTTACAAGGCTATAAATTACTGCTTTTTAACTTAAAGCTATCTCAAGGATTATATGCTGTTGATCCAGTGTTATTCCCATTAGTGGCAATAACTAGGAGATAATTCACTTCATTTGGAAAAGGAAATCCTGATTCTCAAAGTAGTTTGAGTACCATTCAGTCTGGAATCAGATTATTCTTTATCGCACATTAAAGTCATGGCAAGGTGGTCTTCAGATTGTGAGTGTAATTTAGTCTCACAAATAGGTAATCTTGTTAAAATATTGTTGGGTTAATCAAAATTGATTTACGTGTACTAAATCCAGCGAATGCTAATCAAGTACCAGGTTGGGAGGCTTTAGTAGCAATTTGAAGTCTGATAGTTTCACGTTGTTCCTGGATGCAATGACTCATTGGATTTGGGGAAACACTTTAAGGTCTGAACATCCTTCTGAGACTGAATTCAAATGTGCTACAGACTGAAGCATCTTGTGTAGAACTATGTTTTAAAAGCCATGACAATGTGGGTCGCTGTATTTGTTATACCTCATGTGCAATGAATTGTTCTCCAAACCACATGAGTGTTTTGTGGCTTTGCCACTCTTTGGTATTCCTAAAGATCTTGGCATTTTTTTTTTTTATAAATTGTGGTTCAAAGAGATAATTAAGATGCTAATGTAGTCTCTGTACGTATGAGTACCATCCTTTTAAAAGAAAAGTATGTTGCATTTAAAAAATTCCAATTGTGCAATTGTGAATCTGTTAGAAGATAGGTTATTTTTATTTTTTTTAATTATATGATTATCAATATGGGTTATTGGTAGATGAAGCCCCTGAAATGCGAAGAACAAAAACTTACTTTGCAGAGCCACCAGGAGCTTTGCACTCTCCTCACACCCCTCGGAACTTACAACATCTTATTTTCTTTCAACAGAAAGCTTTTCTTTACAGACTACGGGAACGCTGCCAAGGTTGAGAGATGTGACATGGATGGAACGAACAGGACGTGGATAGTAGACTCTAAAATTGAACAGCCAACTGCTCTTGCGCTCGACCTCATCAATAAATATGTGTACTGGGTTGACATATACCTGGATAGCGTGGAAGTTGCTGACTACCAAGGGAGAAAGAGGCATACAATAATTAAAGGCAGACAGGTAGGTATTTATTAGCAAATGAGTAAAAAGTAATTATATTGATAAATGTACATAATTCTAACAGTTACAGTAATTTCAGGGTTTTTTTTTTTCCTCTTTTTAATTTGAATGTGTTAGACATGAAAAGATCTATCTGCGTGTTTTGTTTTATTTGCAATTTAGCCCATTTTTGCAACCTATGAACAGGCTTCCGTGCAGTGTCTCACCAACAAATGCACCGTGTAAGTCACGCACCCCATTGTAAAAGACTTCAGGAGGAAAAATATGGGCTGATGGAAAGATACTCCGGGATAAATTATTAATGACAAGAAGATGTCCTTGCCAATTCGGGAAGAAGACACTAACAGGCACAAGGATGTGAAAGAAAGAGAATAGCAAAAGCTATTCACTTGCTCAGACCAATCTGAGTGCCCTTAAATCATATTTTGTTGATGGCAACGATCCTTTTCCCAGTTGATCCAGATGTTTGGTGTCATAAATACAAATGCTGAGACTGTAGGAGTGTTTGAGCAGGAGTAAATCAATGTGGTGTTGTTGCTTCAGCCTGGACAGCGGGGGAAGGAAGGGTTCCTTGGTGGTCCTGAGGCTTTTGTAAATCAAGGGAAATTAGCAGTGGCCATACTGGTCCTGGTTGGTACTTGGACTCCCTGAGCTGGTGTGTGTTCTGTGTGTACAACTGCTTCTGCCCGAGGTTAAACTGAGCATGTAACAATGTGCAGACAAAATAAACGTTTTACTTGTTCTGCTGTCATTCTTTGCTTGCTTCCAACTTATCGCTGTTTACCAAGAGACAACTGGCCAGTGAAACTACAGTTAAAAATGGGCGGAAAACGTGACAAAACCCAGTCTAAGTCACCTGGCTAAATAGCAAACACCTTCCTTTTTTTTTTACCAAATTACTCCCAGTCTTTCGCCAGTTGTTCTGCAATGATAGGTCTTGTAAACTCTTTTTCAGGTAACAATTTGGAATATATACTTTAAAAAAGCCATTTTCAGAAGCAGCTAACAAATACTTTTACGAGCTTGTAACAGCGTTGTACTGGTGTCATGGCATAGATGCTTGCTCTTTCTCTTCTTCCTGAGATTTAGATGCAGAGAGGATTCTTTATCAAGTTCAGAAGGATCCTTTCTTCTCTAAACAAGCTAAGAAAGGAGGAGGATGTTTGTTTCTTTCCATATGGGTGAGGGGTACTAAAAAGTTTGGCCTCTCAGTTGGTCACCACTATCACAAAAGGAGAAATACATTGGTGGTATTTCCACTCACATGAAAAATAGATAATTTCACCAGGCTTTGTGCCTGCATTGGCCAGGATTTAGAATGTCTGTTACTCCAAGTCACTCCTCATTAGTCCAAGGAAACAGCAGACTAAGAAAACCATTGCCAAGAAATTTTAGGGATTAAAGTTTATTTTGTAAGTACAAGCATATCGAAAGATGACATGCTTTCCAAATGATACAAGCTTTTATGATTGATGGTCTGGGTGGCTTTCAAAGGACTATTCTTTGTACCAGGCAACAGCTCCATTCATGCATAAGAGAGCTGGAAAGCTTCATGAGACGTAAAAAAACAACACATGCATAAATTAAATACAAATAATTAAGTCATTATGAAATGCATTGTAGAAAGAATCACATGGTTTTAATAGTGTAAGTATAGAAAAGCTCTCATGGGAGTTAAATACTAAAGCTTTAAACTGAGTGCAAGTGGAAATAGGGAAGAAAGGATTATAATGCAGAGGAGAATTCACCAATTTGGTACAGATGCATCATTAATTTCAAAGCTTTTTCCATCTTACTATAGTTGGATTGAATTTCTATTGGGTCTAAATCAAATACTCTCATCGATCTCACTTATTTTTTTTATTTTTTTCTGGGGGTAAGGGCAGAATGCAATGACAAGATTTGGCCAAATGGGGGGTAATTTCCAGAAAGGACCAAAGCATTTGATGCGTGGTAGGGGTTTTTTGTTTGGGTTTTTCTGGTGATATGTATCTGAATTTGTGAGTAAATGAGCAAAGTAAATACTTTGTGGCAAACAATTTATTGATTAGACTAATAAGGTATGCAGCCTGTGAATATCTGGAAATCTGCCAACGAATTCCCTTTAATCTGTTCAACTTTCAAAATTGCCAAGGAGTTATTTTATGTAAATCAATCACAACTGCCAGGTTATCGAACAGTTCCTGTTTGAGCAGTGATTGGCTAACTAACGGCAGGTAATTTCTAATCGATGTGCCCAGACATATCACAGATGAATACAATTTTAGAATCCACTTTTTGAGAAACCAGCAGTTATGTGTGACTATAACCATATTCAAATATGCCAGCAAAAACGAACACAAGCATAGCTGAGGGGATGTATTTATTTATTCATTTCTATACTTAGGAAAACATTCATGGGGTATATCTTGTGCTATTTGCTTTGCCTTGATTATAACATAATCAAAAAAATACATCAATCCACAAAGCCATATTTAAAACACAAGCTGTGTTTTAAATAGCTATATTTACTGTATTTATTAGTTAATTTTAGTAAATGTTAGCTAATTTAGAATGGTTATCATTAGCTAATTAATATTAGTTAATACTAAAATAAGCTGTTGCACTTAAAGCATGAAGTTTTTCATTTAAAAAGCAGACACTGGGAAATCCAGAGGATAAATGAATTTGGATTGCTAAATATTTTGAATTTTCTGCCTTGTACAAAGCTTTTCTAATTATAAACTTCAGACTACAAGACTGTGAACTATCCTTGTAGTATAGTCTGTGTTTCTAATTTACAAATGTTTATCAACACATTCAGATATCCTTTTGTACAATTCAGCATGTACAATTCCCAGTAATGTTTGATGTTTATAAATCATAGATTTACCTAAAATTTTTAACTAAAATAATGGTATTATTTTTTTCTTTTCCAGATTAGGCATCTTTGTGGACTGGCAGTATTTGAAAACTTTTTATATACCATTAATTCAGATAACCTCAGCATTTTACGAATAAACAGATATAATGGCACCGATGTTGAGTCTCTTGCTAGACTTGACAATGCTAAAGAGATCCGTGTATACCAGAAAAGAACCCAAACAGCAGGTAAGATCAAAATTCCTCTTTCTAGGAAATTTAAACCCAGATATTTCCATCTCAACATGAGGGAAAAATCTTCTTTACTTTGGGGGTGGCAGAGCACTGGAACAGGCTGCCCAGAGAGGTGGTGGAGTCTCCTTCTCTGGAGACATTCAAAACCTGCCTGGACACCATTCTGTGCAACCTGCTCTGAGTGAACCTGCTCTGGCAGAGGGTTGGACTAGATGATCTCCAGAGGTCCCTTCCGACCCTGACCATTCTGTGATTCTGTGATAGTAGGTGGATGTGTGGTTGAAACGGTTCTTCTGAAAAAATGCATCAGAAGATGCAGTGAAAATTTGTCACTGTAGCAGAGCACTCTGTTGCTTCTTCGTCTGCCCAGATTTCTATGTGCTTACTGCCAGTTTACCTGCACCTCTGAGCTCCTAACACAACTTCTTCCTCAGCATTCAGCTTGGAGAACTGCCGAAGAGCTCTGGTCTGCAAATATTCTGGCTCCACACACTTGAGAATTTAACACCTTCAGAATTGTTAGATGTCCCAGACTGTTCACATGCCTGGGTCTCAGACCTCCGAGATTCCTGGTTGCTCTGGGTCAGCTTTTCAGTCAAACTGGAAACCTCAAGGGAGCCCCTGCCTTTGGGGTTGCCAAAGGAGGCTGGAGATGTGGGCAGCCAGCCTGCCTAACTGCCAGCACAGCACCTGGGGAGATAGGAAATGGCTGTTAAGTTTTCCTTGGTTTGTATAAATATCATCTTTGCCTTCTGTGAAAGAAATCTTCATTTTCCTCCAGAATGAAAACCTCCTTATAATCCCAGATTTTTGGGTAAAGTAGCAATTTCTGAGGTCCACAGTGCTATATGACTCTAATTCTGTCTCTGATCGTGCACCTCCTGCAATTCAGAACAGCAGCCTGATTTGTGGGAGCTTTGTGCGAAGATAGCAAGATCCAAAATGTTTACAGCGATACTTTAGGATAATTTCTTTTTTTTTTTTTTTTTTTTTTTTTTTTTATATGACTGATAGCACTAAATCGTTGCCGTGACTGGTTGGAGAGAAAAGCTAACGCATCAGTTCTGGTGATCAACGTCAAAGTTATTAAACAGACTGACTGCTTTGAGAGAAGTTCCTGAAGCGGGAACAAACTCTAAATTGATGTAGACTGGGTGAACTAATTTTCACCCTATAGCTGAGGGCTTTGATTTGCAGATGTCAGCGTCTGAAGGAGGCTGCAAAGACTCTTTCCAAGCTCTAGGCTCTTCTCTCTAACCCGGAGGGAGTCGGAGGGGCTGAGGAGGGGAGAGAGACATGAGCACGGTGTAATCTTTTATTACATCCTGTGATTACTCTGTTCCTCTTGCCTTTCGTTCACTCTGCTATTTCTTTTGTTTTGAATGGACATCTTTGTTGCTTGTCAAGATTCGCTGTAAAAGCTGTCGCAGCTCGGTAGAGTTTCTGTATACCTTTAACAGTATCGACCTTAAACCACTTGATAACTTTTTTTAAAAAAAAAAAACCTAAAAAGCTTGAAGGAAAGGAGAAAGAAGAGAAAAACATGTTTTTTGAGCTAGAATACTGTTGGCCTGTTGTAAGCCAGCTTAGTAAATGTAGGATAGCAAGATAAATTTTGTTTTCTCGTTGGATATACCTAGAAGAGTTTAAAAAAAATATAGATATTTGATGTATTAGTCTGCTAATTTAGAACCGTGCATTTGAAAATATGAAGTCAAGGGAAAGAAATTCTTTGGCTTTCAGCTGGATTTATGTCCCAACTGTACAAATATGGAAAAAGGCTACAAGGCTCGTTCTGTTCTTTAGTTTCTGCACAGGCAGCTGCCCCAGAAAGGTGCTGTGTAACTGGGTTGGATGAATAGCAGACTGCCCTGGCGTGGGATGTGCTCCATTCTCAAAAAGCCAACGAACCAACCAAATTAATCAAAGCAACACATAAAAATGGGGAAAAGAGTCCCCAGGGGACCACTGCCTGGTAAAGGCTGTGCAGCAGCTCACTCTAAAGGGGGGTAATGGCACACAACGATGTGGTAGCCACAAGGTGGCCCTTTGGATTACCTGTTTAGAGTATCATCTTAAAAGAAACCACCTTCTTTTGTGGCTATATTCTGGTGAAAGATTTATTGTAACACAAATTCCCCTTTTTTTTTTTTTTTGTTTTTCCCCCCGTCTAATCTTTCTACATGCCGATGCATATAATTATCTGGCTTTAAATGGATTTCAATGGTGCTCTTTTTTTTCGCCTGCCGTAGTCAGAAGCCACGCGTGTGAAGTGGACCCATATGGAATGCCGGGGGGATGTTCTCACATCTGTCTGCTCAGCAGCAACTACAAAGCACGGACTTGTCGCTGCAGGACTGGCTTCATCCTGGGGAGCGATGGCAGGTCATGCAAAAGTATGTTATTTAGATGAAAGAGTTTGCCAGCCGCTAGTATTTCAGGGTGTAGTTCTGGGTGTTATCTAACATCCTTATCAATAACAATAGAAATCACATGGGCTGCTTTTGGGTAAAATTTGCTCCATGTACCTGACACTTTGTTTGTGTATTCCTTTCATTCCCTTAAAATGATTTGATTTGGCTTAGTTCATAGAAGTGACAAATTAATCCCAGGATGCTGTATAAAGAAGTGTAGAAATTATCACAGCTTTTAGATTACTCACTCTTACACTTTCTTTATATATTATGCATTTTCACAGCACAGAGGTAGTGAAATGCTGTTAAATAATTTGTCAAACCTAATTTCTACCCATACAATCAACTCCTAGCTCAGAAGTGTCATGGTTTGGGCTGGACCAGCCGCTGGATGAATGACAGAAGCAGAGGATTCATATGAATAACTCAAGCAAGTTTTTTCTCATAATACTTTGTGAGAAAAAATTTGAAGTGTTAGGTATGGTTATACCTAACAGTAGGTACACACAATCTGTTGGTCACCTACAGCCAAGAGGACAGTCCTGAAAGTTTTTGGGAACACCTATTTTTATCTGGTTTCTTGATCAAATGGCATTGATTCAGTTCAGATGAAATTTGAAAACGTATATTGATAGTACTAAGGATCTAAAGATATTTATCTTTGAAGAAAGAAAATTGCCTTAGTAAGCTTCAGTTATTTGTAAGTAACCTACTTAATGAAATTGCAAAAATCTCATCAGAAATAGGTAATGTTGATATCTGTGTTTGGTATCTCAGTATGAAAGAACAGGGTGTGTGAATTTGTTGTGTTCCTTCCCGTTTGAAAAAAAAAATTACTGTAATCTTTTATTTTTTTTTTTTTTTTTCTCTAAGAAACTCCAGGTGAAAAAAAATGTTGTTCTGTATTTGCTTTTACTGTAATCTTTTCTTTTTTTTTTTTTTCTCTAAGAAACTCCAGGTGAAAAAAAATGTTGTTCTGTATTTGCTGGAGTTTATGGTCTTGTTAGATTCAATGATTACTTCAGTCATGGTCTATGTTACCCTGATAGATCCTAATGAATTGTAAAATTAAATGTCTACAAGGCTATATATGTCCATTTCACAGCAGATGCAAAGTTGTTCTGTGATCTAGCATTGCTTTGCAATGTGAACTTTCACAGAAAAAAATAATTAGATGTAAGCAGCTCACTGAAGTAATTTGTATTTTAATTAAGGTAATATAATTAGCTAGATTTCTTGAGTTTAGATACCTTTGGAATATATGAAAGTTTAATTTTTGGTATTGAATAATGTTCCTGCTCCCCCACTAATTGTGCTGGTTAATTAAACAGTGACATTATGCACTGTAAAGAAGATTAGGCAGCATCAGTTGTTTATGTTTGTAATCTTTCTTTTGCAGGACCAAAGAATGAATTGTTTCTTTTTTATGGGAAGGGACGCCCAGGAATAATACGGGGAATGGACCTGAATACCAAAGTGTCTGATGAATACATGATCCCTATAGAAAACTTGGTCAATCCTCGTGCTCTGGACTTCCATGCCGAAACCAATTACATTTATTTTGCTGATACTACCAGTTTCCTAATTGGACGACAGAAAATTGATGGCACAGAGCGAGAAACAATCCTCAAAGATGGTAGGCAATGCTAACTGATAGTGACATTCACAGAATCGCACTAAGGAGAAGCTCAACTGACATTTACAGATAATTTAAAGCTTTATTTAAATCTCCCATGGAAAACAGACCCAAACTAGGCCTTAACAGAGTTGGAGGGTTTTTTTTTTTAAAAAAAAACAAACAACTTCCTATTTATTTTTCCTGAGTGCAGAAATGTAAAGTTTGGTTAAGTTGCTCTGTTGTGAATTCTAACTTTGTCCATTTAACCTTATCCCTGCCGGTGAGTAACCCCTGCATCTCCACTATATTCTCTCAGTCGTTAGATACAATGGATCCGTAATGTAGTTCTTTTTAATCAATCACTGAGCCATCCCCTCTCCTCGTGGACTTTGCAGGACTTCTTCACTCCAACCTGTATCATGGTGTGGATTCTGGAGCTTATTCATGTAGGTTGGCAGAATGAGACTTCCTGAAGTGCTTGCAGAGCCATTAGAAAAAAAAGGAAATGTAGGTCATTTAGCATTGTCTTTCCCTGATGCATTTTCCATTGTATATGTGGATGTGACAGGAGGACCTAAACCTTTTTTAGAAACTTAATTAAGATGTTTGTACCATTTATTGTATCAAGGAGAGAAAATACCAGCAGTTCTCTAGTTTCCACGTCTCCCACCACGCTTCACAGAATCTCCCTGGTCTGGAATCAGATCTTGTCATACTAAATGCTGTTTCAGTGATTGTCTTTGCAAAGTCATTAGAAAAAACAGGAAATGTAGGTCATTTAGCATTGTCTTTCCCTGATGCATTTTCCATTGTATATGTGGATGTGACAGGAGGACCTAAACCTTTTTTAGAAACTTAATTAAGATGTTTGTACCATTTATTGTATCAAGGAGAGAAAATACCAGCAGTTCTCTAGTTTCCACGTCTCCCACCACGCTTCACAGAATCTCCCTGGTCTGGAATCAGATCTTGTCATACTAAATGCTGTTTCAGTGATTGTCAACTCATTTTTCTTTTTCTTTTATGGACCGTTTTCATGAAAGGCTGCTTCAGCAGGAGGTAACAACTGCTTCATTTTCTAGTACTCAAAAAAGTAAGCAATATGAATATTCATCTTGGCCTTCAGAGAGTTTAGTATCTTTACTTGTAAATTGAAGCTTGAGACAGAGACAGTAGCTAAAAGACCATTGTTTTAGCACAGGGATTTTCATTCCCTGTCATTCATAATCCATGTTTTAATCCAGCTGTCTCAGAGAGGTTATCTCTAGTTTGCAGTGTCATGGTGCTGTTTCGGCATAAGGTCTCTCCAGACCTCGGAGTCTGCACAAAGATCCTTTAGTAGCAGTTGCAAGAAATAGGTGGCTCTTGATGCAATATTCATGATTGCTTAATAAAAGGCAACTGAGTAAATAATGCTCAACTCAATCTGGTAATTCTTCATTTCACTGCGAATACAGGAATGGGTCATACGCATCACAGAACTTCCTTTGCTGACCTTCTTTGAGTAAACAGCAACTGTTTCATTTTACAGCAAAGTCATCCAAATGTGGGGTGGAGGAAGGACTGGATTGTATGTAGATTTAAATATTACAAGATAATTAAGATGTTAACACTACAAGTATGTAGATTTCAACATTACAAGGCAGCATCCTTGCTGACGGGTATCAAACAGGTTGGGGTTAGTCTAATCAAACATCCCAACCTACAGCAAATCGAAGAGACTCTCTTTTAAAGAATGTTTAACTGGAACTCTTAATAAGTACTACATAGAAAAATACCAATGCAATACCGAAAGAATTATGCGATGATTTATTACTGGTGGTCCTAATACTTACCCCCAAAAATGTCACTGTGATTCTCTCCTACTCCTTCCCCAGGAGTTTACATTGTTAGGTAGAACTTGATGCAGTTTCATAACTTTAAAGTGTGTTTAAAGAACACTTGTTAATGTATTTTTCACAATTTAAAAAATTAATACGGCCTCCAGCCTTATCAGCTCAGCTTTTATTCTTGTCAGCTCTCAAGAACTCAGCAGGGACAGATTAAATCGTTCCTTGGTGGAAGGCTACTAGAGGAAATCAGGTGTGTCAGGAGGTGGTTTAATATTCGCTCTGAACAGCAGGCTGCTAAAGAACTCTATCTGTGGTAGGTGTCACTTCTCAGATTAGAAGTTGTCATTTTTTCTGACTATCAGGTTTTGCAAGAAGAGATACGCCAGCTCAAACAACACTGTAACTCAGATAATTACAGTTTGCCTACACGAGAGCCTGATCCTACAAGCTGTTGACTGGGAGCTGAGAACGCTGAGCACCTCGCACTGCTGGAGCTTGATTTTCCCATACAGTTGTAGCTGTGATTTCTTATTTTTCACTTCAGGAAACAAACTGCTGGGTAGTATTGGTAAATATTTGACAGCCCACAGCATGGCCTAGCCTAGAGTTGGCGGCGCAACTGCAATACTAGTGTAATTTCACCAGGAACAGAAATCGCTATAATTAAGGTTTCAAACTTGCAGGTAAAATCAGGTTTTTAAATTAAAAAAAAAAAATAAAATAGTGGAACAAACCAGACATTTTTAAAGCAATTTAAATATTGTTCAATTGTAGTAACAAACACAAATTCTGGGGTTTTTTTTACTTGTCTGTGTCCCCCTTATTTGTTTGGGATGGCTGTGAGCCTTAAAGTGTTATATTATTCACTTGTAACTATTAGCAAAGATGGTCAAGGGCTAACTTTTTACCTGAACAAGGTCAAAGTAAGTCTGTAAAAATCTTTGGAAGCTGTTTAGCTGGTTGGTATATAGAATAATTATATTTTTATTGGGTTTTATGTTAATCTAGTATTTTAGGCACTATTAGTGTACGTGATCTACCTGACATTAAGCTAGGCCATTCTGTACCAAATTACACTCTTATAATTTGTGCTTGTAATTTCTTGCATATTTAAAAACAATGTGACAAGTTGTTGCCTCTAGAAATACAAGTTTCTAAATATCTTGTATCTATAGTCAGCATATTTGGAGCCCACATGCTACTGTTGATTGTAAAATTCTTGTAGTTTTTCCAGAATTACAATTTTTTCAGCTATCAAGTGAAGAACAATCAGAATGGTCTTTTATTCACGTCATCCGTTTCATAATGAAAGGGCCTCGCTGCCAAAAGCCTGCCTTACTGTGGCCAAATTAATTTTATTTAACAATTTATTTCTCAGCTAGTTTCTGTGTTACTGTCAATAACTTCTTTCCATTTATGATAAACTCATTTGCATATTTATCTTATTCCACACAGAGGATATTGATAGGGGAAAAAAGCACTTTTAAAAATGTTACATGGCTGTCACTTCAGTAGGTACCAGCTGCTTTTATTTTTATATTCTTAAATATTGAAAGCATGCTGACTGAAGTATTTCTCTTAATAAAGGGATCCTTGTTATTTTTAATATACTTCATCATTATATTTAAATGCATTTTCCTCTTTTTTTTTAAAAAAAAAAGTAAATAGTTATAAAATTAACAAAAAAAAAGAAACTTTTTGCAATGACAAGGTCTTTGAAAACGTTATAGCTCTGCTAACTTGATAGGCAATATTGTGGCATTACAATCACTAAAAAACTTTGTTCAAGAAAAATATTGTGAAGTAATTTATCATGTTCCAATGCTATTAAGATTGTAATGGCACCTCTTATAGATGCTGCTATTGCATCCAGGTGTATAAAAAGCGCAATATTTCATTTATTGGGTAAAACTGTCATATTTTATTTTAGTGTATTGTTGATGACATACCATATGTTATCTTTGGGTTATAGGAAGCAGGAAGTTTTCTGTACTCCTCTAAGTAAGTTATGTAGACTGTGACTCAGTAAAATAGCTTTGCACCCCCTTCCATCACAAAGAATTTCCTGATTTTGTGTAGGGAATGAAATAGTTTAATAGAGTGAGAGTCTGCAAAGGTGTTTGAGATCTAAAATTACTATTGGTGAAGGGTTTGTCCAAGGAAAATACGTCTGACATGTTGCAAAATAAAATTTATAGGTCTGCTGAAGTTATGAATGTCAGTAAGAACTTTCCATTAGTACTTACTGGTTGTATTATGGGGAAGCATCTGGTGGAGAAACCTGATGGAAGGTTGAGGGGATGACAACACAGCACCACTGCACAATGCTGTTGCAGTAAAAATGACTCTGATAACAACTAAAAATGTCCCAAACCAGCAGTTTGGGAGTTCATGGGGAGTTGTTGTCTGGAAAGCTGACAATTAAATTACATATGTCTGGCAGCACAGTTCAGATAGAATACAGTTGTGTTCAGTTTAGGGGATTTTCATGTGCGAATCTGGTGTAAATTAAGTAGGATCATTGATTTTGCCACATCAGCATTTCTTAAAAAATAGTAATACATGATTTTTATAACGTGCATTGTGATAAAAATCTCTCTGCATCATGCTTGTTCTGAGAAGATTTTTCAAAAAAACTCCAGTGTTGATCAGAAAGTGACATCAACTCTGGTGAGAAAAAATGAATCTGATGAAAGCTTGCATCTAGATGGTATTACCAGTGTAAGTGTGAACAGAAAAAGCAATTTATATTCCTTTTTTTCAAGTCTTGATGACTCCTGTCATTGAAATTGTAATGTAAGATTGGATATCGGAGTGTGACAAACAAGTAATACATTCCATAGCATTGTAGTAAGGAGGGTTTTTTTTTAAGCATGTTTTTTTTTTTATTTTGGGGGGTTTATTTTTACCTTTTCAACCATACTGACCTTTATTTTTATCACAGCAAAGGGAGGTGCTGTGAATTCTCAGGCTGGGTGGAACCACTGGAGTCAGAGCAATTATACTGCTGCCCCATTACCTTTTTTAATCCAGGTGACAAGATAATGGAGGCAAATGGTAAAAATGAGCGTTTCCACCCCAAGTTTACCTCAGAAAGGATACTAAAGCAAGGAAATGTGGTGTCCTCAGCTTTGGGAGGGCGGTGGGAGGCAGGAGCCAGTGATCTGCCCCTCAGGCCCTCACAGGCGCTGCCGCTGGGGACCATGTTATGGCCACCAACCATAACATGATTGGTGGTCATGATTGGTTCTGAGCTGGTCAGAACTGGTCCCAGCCAGGAAGGAATGGCCAGGCAAAGGTGCCTGTGTCATGGGGTTCTCTGGGCAGCGCAGGGCTAGGGCTGCCTGGGAAGCAGTGGTGAAACACAAGGGCTCCATCTTTCCCAGAGAAATACTGCCTGGAGGGATTGAGAAGAGGGTGGGCAGGTGGCAGGGCTGCTGGAGTGTGTTTGCAGGACAGAGACCAGAAAAGGTGGTGGTCACCAGTGCCGTGGCCCAAGCTCTGTAGCTCCTCTCACTGTTAACGGCCCTCAGATAACTCTTGACAAATGGTGGGCTCCTCATGTAACTGAGGAGTGACCACACCAGGAGGACCGTGCTATCTTTAAAGGGTGATACCTAAAGTAGCTCCTCAACCTTCACGATGCTACAAGGGCCAGGGGAGAATGACTAGAAATTCTCCATATTCCACCTCATGCACTTGGGCATCAGGTTCTTTCTGTCAGTTAAGGAACTAGGATTGTGTGGAGAGGGCAGAGCTTACCAGGATTTTGGGGAAGCTTGAGGGAAAATTTGTTGCTTGGTGAATTGTTTTACTATTTCTCAAGTGGGCAAACCTCCACGCTGTATGGAATGAACATTTTTGACTCCTTTTGGTTCTGGATGGAGCCCTACCACTGTCAAACTCATGAGCCCATGGGTACATGCGATGGTAGCATTGCTCTTTGCTCATGTATAGCTTCCTATGGCACCAGTTTGCTTGTATACTTACCTGTGGAGAGCAACTGGGACTGTTGTGATGTCCTTGCTTACACAGCTTGCAATGGCAAGGGACAATGGAACAAATGTAAACTGAATGCCCCTTTTCCTTATTTTTTAGTAGGAATGACATTTGTTATTTGGGTAAAAGCAAGACAGTTCGGAATACTAGAGCTGATTCTGGAAGCTGCTCTTGACTTGAGTCATGTTCCTGTTTAGGGTTAAAATTAAGTAGTTTTGTTAAATAATGATTTTCCCATGGCCTGCTATAGTTAACATATGAAGACTTATGGTTTAATACACAACTTTTATGACCATTTTTAGTCTTTGTCTGTCAGACTAATTCTGACAGACACAGAAAATGTAATTCAGATTCAAGGAAATAATCTAACTATATTGTCCATTGTCTGTACTAATGGATAATGTTAGAACATAAACAGATAATATTAATCTCATTACCGTCTTCTCTCTCTCAACAGATCTTGATAATGTAGAAGGCATAGCAGTGGACTGGATTGGAAACAATCTTTATTGGACAAACGATGGTCACAGGAAAACCATTGCTGTCGCCAGACTGGAAAAAGCTGCCCAGAGTAGAAAAACTTTGTTGGAGGGAGACATGTCCCACCCTAGAGGGATTGTGGTTGATCCTGTCAATGGGTAGGAAGTAGACTAATTAATTTATGTTGTTTAATGCATGTCTTTATAGCATAAATATGGGATTGAATTTTTCTTGGGCTGGGGTTTGTAGAGTCGTGCAGTAGTCTGCAATTCTGCAGCAGTTTAAAATATCTGTAATTCCTGTCCAGCATTCTTGCCTGAAGCCTTCAGAAGAATGTGTATGCCCAGACACTGTTGAACCAATGTCAAGTTAATTTGAATGTGATTCACCTTTTTCTCGAACAAATTGAGTGTATCAGACCTCTATGTATTTTTAATACCAAGTGAACATTATAATACTGTCCTTTATTTCTCTCTTTGTAAGTCTCAATTTCTGAAGATAATTATAACCATATCCTTGTACACATTGGTTTACAAAACTAAATGAGACAGATACTTTTCATTACTTATGAGCATAATTAATTGTGATAGGCTGCATAATAAAAAGAACATTATATTAGTGTGGTATAGTCGCAGATTACCTAAAAATGCACTGTTCCATTTATTCAGGGAATTGTCACTGGAGAATGGTGTAGGCAGGTAATTCTACTGTGGCTGGATTGATTGCTGTTTTCCAAATACTAAAACGTATTTACACTATCAGGTTTTCATTTTTGAGCTTGTCCTTTGAGGAAGGGAAGTGACTGTGGAAAGGCTACAATTAATTAAGGTCAGATAGTAAGGATGTAAAAGCAGACCACAAAGCATAGCCATACCTACAATTACTTTGTTAAATTTTCCAGCTCAGTAAATACAGGGCACAGGAAATAGTGTATGAAGATATATTGTCTGAAAAGGGCTATTATATAAAACACTTTTCTAATAAAATAGCTTGCCCTTCATGATTATACTTCTCATGGAAGCTTTTCCTGAGGGAGAGCATTTATTATGGCATCTTAATTATGTTTATAAAATATTAGTCTTGATTTAACCAATGTAGAAGCATCAACTGCATTTTGAGATACAATTAAAGCGCATTAATGTAGATGTTTGTTACTGTAAGCGTGTTTTAGCTTATGACATGATAACTAGGATACATACAGAGAAAAAGTTGATGGAGAAAAGCTCAGTAATTGCTGTTGAACAGTCATGTAAATATTTGTAGAACATATTTTGTCTTCCAGTAAAATAAATACAATACTGACCTGCATCTCTGCCTGAGCTCTAGGGTGTATGCAGGTTTTATAATTCTGTGATTAAACCTAGTGTTGTTTGGGTCAAACATGCAGTGAAGTTTATAAGCCTCACGGATCAAAAATTGATTTATATACTTAGTGTATATTTACAAAAAATTTTAAAGGAACCCAAAACAACCTTGTGGGTTGGAAGAGACAGAAAAGAAACAAAAAAGGTTCATTTGCATATTTGTAAATCTGTGTAACAATGCTGCATTTTTTTTTTCAGTTCCTTATATTAAAAAAAACAGATTGATCAAATTACATAAAAGAGTGTTGAAGTAAAATTTTTGACCAGCACATTTGGCGGCATTTACTCAGATTTGATAACAAAGCTGTTTTTCAATACAGTGTTTAATTCCATGTAAAATAAAAATTTAAATTCCAGACTTTATTCTTCAAAGTACAGACAGGTTATGTGGGTTAGGGTCACACAAGTTATTTGAGAAATTTGTAGAATTTCAAAAACGTAAATCTGGTGAAATCAAAGGTGAGGTATATTAATACCAATTAAATCATGACAACTTTAACAAGTAGGATCATTTAAAATACATATGGTGATTTTTCTCTATTTAATGCTTAATAATTGAAATCCAAGATTTCACTTTAAAATTAAAGGTCTACTTCTAGTAAATGTTTTCAGCATATTGATGTCACTGTGCGTGATATGATCTGAAATACTGTTTTGACGTGTCATAGATTACATACAGATCCTATCTGTTTATTCCCATGAACCTGTTTTTTCTTTTGAAGGAAAAAAAAACCGAAGAAAAAAAGCAGTGTTTCTTAGTATATTTGCTACCCTCTGCTTTTGTATAAGTTCAAGTTGTGTATTTTAAGTTGTTGAAATCAGAGCTGTCACCAGTAAATTCTGTAATAAGATATGATAATCAGATTGATTCAAGAAGGAAAAAAAAGAAACATAGGTTGTGTTCTGTGCTATCCAGTAGAAAATTTCTCAGAGAACTCATCTGAGCTAATACTTTTAGATGACTTACTCCAATGCTTCTTCAATTTTTCCCAAGTAGCATGGGTACTTATATTTCAGAGTTGTTTTGGTTCTACATTGCTGCACTGTAAGCCATAAAACTATGCTAATATTCCCTACTAGATATTTGTCAAATATTTTCTACATCTATCTTTCTAAACATTTTCGTGAGGGACAGAGTGCTCGTAATAGTTTTTTGAGTAATTTAGCTGCTTTCATGTGGGATGTGAAGTTCACAGAATGTCACGATTATCCTGTAGCTATTAAACCTGAGTGCAATTAATTCATATATTGCAGCTTTTTTGATAATATTAAGCATATTCAAAAGCAGATTTTCAACATAAAGGCAAATTAGGCTTGGCAAAAAAACCCTACCAAACCCATCACAGTAAAAGTTTGAACTTTGTGACAAAGTCAATAAAATTGCTGGTTAAAAAAAAAATAAAATCATGATTTTGATGTGAGTAAATAAGGTCTTAAACAATTATTTCGCAGCTCATGTCAGCCCATTTTTTATTTATGTAATTCATTACAGTATGAGCAAATCCACCCTAAATGTCAGTTCAGCAGCATCCAGTACACGGAGAAAGTAAATATTGTTGTAGAAATAGCAGTGGGAAGAAAGGTGCAAAAGCCTAAGGGGCTCTGGCTTGTGGAAATACGGTTGCGAACTGCTGCTAAAAGTTACAGTATGATCCAGGTGATTAAAATGGTATCTGAATGTTCATTTCTTATAATTTCATAGCTGGATGTATTGGACAGACTGGGAAGAAGATGAAATAGATGACAGTGTGGGAAGAATTGAGAAGGCCTGGATGGATGGCTACAGTCGGCAGATTTTTGTAACATCAAAGATGCTGTGGCCAAATGGTTTAACTCTGGACTATCGCGCCAACGTATTATACTGGTGTGACGCCTATTATGATCACATTGAAAGGATATTTTTGAATGGAACTGACAGAAAGGTAAAAGAAAAATACTGCTGTTTTGCCACAGGCATGCTCTTTCTCTGGATTTTATTATGTTAAAAATACTTTTCGAGCTTTTGGAAGTCTGCATAATCCTGTGGCATGTCCGGTGTCATCTCGGTTGAAACAAGCGATATTGGCAGCCTCCTGTAAGAGACTGTAATACAGCTTCAAATTTTCATCTTTGGAAAGTGACAGAGAAGTTGATTTTATTTTATTCTTTAATCTCTTTTGTCTCATATGATAATCAGCTACATTTTGATTGAGCCAGGAAGCTACAAAGAGCTTTTCAGTAGGAAAAAAAAAAAAACACAACAAACCACAACACTGCTTTTGGCTCTGCCAGAGAGGCTTTCATTTAATTTCACTGAATAAGCTGCTTTCGATGAATCTCAGTGCCCTGTTTGAGCATTTGTGGTAACTTGCAGAGGGGAAGCTCTCAACAAGTGCAGTCAAAGATGGAGAGAGATTGTTTTAGTTGTTACTGATGGCTGTGCTGGCTAGATGCAACTCTGTAGAGAAGTTCGGTGGTGGTTTGTAGAAGGAACAAGAGCAGAACAGACGTTAAAACTTAGGTTGCAGTCTGATAAATTGGGGAAGGTTTATCATCTGCTTCATAAAGTTAGCACCCTGACAGCTGAAACTTCACCCTTAATTGAGAATGACAGGTATTACATCTGTGAGAGAATTTTGTCACAATGTATGTGTCTTGTGACTTCTCGTTTATCCTTCACTCTTGATTCCCTGTGGCTTCATAGGACCAATACACAGATTTCTAGTACTGAAAGTAGTAACTGTAGGCGCAGTCCTCCCTGAAACTCATCCCTGTACGAGCTCACATAGCTTTAGTATTCTTTTAAAATCCTTTCTATTGAGCGATCTGCTGTTAAGCCTGTACTAATGCTGTAGTGTTGCAGTTCATCATAATGGATGGGTCAGGATTTACATTTAGCACTTCTACTTTTGCTCCAAATCCATTATGGACCTATAACGGATGGGAGGGGGCAAAGCACATGGGCAGAAAGACCTTTTTTAATTAGAGCTCCATGCCTACTAGCAAGGCTAGACTTCCTGAAAAGTTCCTGGACAGAACAGGTCTAGGAAGGTTAAATGCAGCTGCCATGGATTACACGTGGATTACTACTGAGAACTGCTGGTTTTGCCTCCCACTGGAACTGGTGAATAATAAGAGCCCACCTGTCTTTACAGGTTTTATTTTGAAGCGTGTCACAGAATGGTTCTGTTTTTTTGAAAAGTGTTTTCTATAATCCTGTGATTTAAATAAAATGCTTAACTGTTCCAGTAAAATTTTTGTAGCCAAAAATAACTAGAAGATACTTTCTTTTGATGCTGAAATATTTGTGGTCGATTATAGAATATTTTGGTCAAAATAAAACTGGGTCAATGGCGTCTTTAATTCTGTGTCAGTATAGTGAAGATTTTTGGGGGTGGGGAAGTCCTACATGAATTCCATCAGTAGCTGGTGGATAATTGACTAATGGATTAATTCTGATCAAAAGCAGTTAACTGAGATAAGGAGATTTGGTCAGAAGAATTCCAAGCCCTAAGAGAAAATTTGAAGGGCAAAAGGGGATGATGTTTGTCACCTCGAAGTAGTTGTATTTTAGATAAAACCATCTCCTTGTTCTCTTAGGTTTGTGTCTCTAAATAGAGACAAGGTAGGGCATCTGATGAACTGCTGCCTTCTTTCTGGAGGCAAGAAAGAAATACACAGCTGGGCATTAGTTCAAGCAAGGACCCCAGCCAGCAGGAGACAACTGGAACTTAGTCATTCCAAGCTGCAGCTGCTGTGTTGAAGTATCAAGGCAGGGCTCCCAGAAGTAGCTCGTTTAGAGCTCTGCAGTTTTCTATCTCTTTTTAAAGTAAATCGTTCTAATTACTTGTATTGCAATTTACTTGATGGTAGGTTTAGGCTGTTTTTAAAGTTTTGTTTTCGTTCTGTAGAGATTGAAAGTATTTTTAAACTCTTTATCAGAGAGCTCTTGTGTAGTGGTAGTTGCAGTTCTTGTGAAGGAGTCCTGAGACTGGAGCTACAGCAAATGACACTGCTTTGGAAAGTTTCTGCAGCCAATAAAATGAAGAGAGGATCTGGGGTGTAATTTGTAGTTTTATGTATGAGTTAACAAACCACAGGTAGAAGGTGCATGGAAGAAAGTTTGTCTTATTTTGGGAGCAAACTATCTTTTTTAAGTTATCATAACCCAAACTAGAGAGGAAGTTTACAGAAATAAATAAGCAGTCTCTGCGCTTCACACTTTGACAAAAATAAGCCACTCATACACACTATTCTCTGCTTTGAAAGAAGCAGGTATTTGATATACTTGACAGATACTCAAAGTTATATGAAGAACCACACTTCCTTGCTAGGGAAGGAGGTAGGTATTTACTGGACATAATGATTGCATGGTTACCTACATTGTTCTGCGTTATCTAACAGGGAACACTTAAAATTAATTTATATAAATCTAAGAAGTTAGGTATTTATGCTGGTGCATAGAACAGCTTTACACTCTATTTGATTTTATGGCATGAAGTTGTTGTGTTTGGGCACAGTACTTCTCAGTATTTCTATTTCCTGTTTTATATTCTCTGCAGTGTATGCAATGAAAAATTAAGTATTTTAACCTTGCTAATTCTTACCTACCGCTTATTAATTGCAGGTAGTCTACAATGGAAAAGATTTGAATCATCCTTTTGGACTATCGCATCATGGAAATTATATTTACTGGACAGATTATATGAATGGGTCAATTTTCCAGTTGGATCTGGTTACAAGGAATGTGACACTGCTAAGAAGTGAGAGACCACCTTTGTTTGGGCTCCAGATTTATGATCCACGTAAACAGCAAGGTATTTATAACCTACAATTTCTCCAAAAGTCTGTTATAAAAGGTTATTTTTCCTTAAGTCTCCTGGTATTTTGAGATGCGTAGATGAGTAACAGTGGGAAACAGAATATGACTTGTGTCATAAGAAAGATGCTTTCCAATGTTTCAGTCCATTGATGCTGCAATTTATCATCTCATGCTTACTAAAAAGTGAATCATTGTATTATACCTGTCTGATTTTTTTTGTGAATTTACACTGCCTTTATTGCCATTTTTCCTGTGTGTCAGAGATATTGTGTTGATAAAATAGAAAAGATAGCACATTGGCTCATTATCATCAAATATATTACTGCATTTACCTTTTCTTAAGTAAGATCACAGATCCTGTCTTTTTTTTTTCCTTTTTTAAATTTTTTAAATTTTTTTTTTTAAATTTTCTCCCCCATATTTGTCTACATCAGCACCATAGAGAAACGTGATGAAGGCCATCAGTTTGCATAGATGGAGTTTAGAAAATGCAATTGCTACTATATAGATGAATTTACATGTAGAACATTTCCAGTTCAACAGTTCCTATAGAAAATCAGAGACTAAATTGTTGGCAGTCCTGCTACTTTTCTGTACATCAACCAGAAAAGTAACAAAATCTAAATTTCACCATTTATCTGAATGCTACTTAGTACAGATACAACATTAAAATATGGTTGTTAAAACAGTGATTTTTTTTTTTCTTTTTTAAGTTTTCAGGTCCTATTGTGAGTATTTTGTCCCTTTGCATAAAGCCCAATTTTATTTTCATAGTATCATGCCCCTCAGATCTGGATGTGGGTACAGTGGCTTCTTCATGTCTATTCTTAGTGCTTTGAAGATTTGACTGTGTCTCTCTCATTTGCCATCAATTAATGGCTTGGAGAGCAACTGATAAAACTGATACAGAGTGGATGGAATCAAAACATTAGAAAAAATATATACGTTCATAGACAGAAAATATTTAGCCTTTATATTTGCTATAGGCATATCTCTATATGCCAAACAAATATATATATATACACATTTGTATTTCTGTATAGAAAATTGATACATGCATATATGAAAAGAAAGTATAATGAATATTTTCCCTATATATGCTGGCTAAATATTTTGCATAGGTTTATTTCAGAGGTTTTAGATACCATAATTACTAAGTATGTTTTTATTGGTTTTCTTCTGTCTAATCCTACCAATTTTTTTCCATCCAGCAAATTAAAAAAACTGGTCATTTACAAAGGGAAGAAACAGCTTAGTTTTCAAAATGCTGCTAAATAGGAGGTGCATATGTGCATAGGCAAAATACTTGGTGTGTAATATCTGCGTGTATAGGGTTGTTTAATTTTGTTTCATTTTAAAATTTACTATTTTGAAGACTTGGATATGCAGTTAATATTCTTTGGAGAAGACAAAGACTTCTTCTCTATCTAAAAGAACGTCTTCCAGTTTGTTTTCCCTTGGGAAAACCACTTTTTACAATGTTTCACTTAACCATCTGAGGTCCTACTGAAAAGCTTAGTGATTTTCTTGACAACAGGTTAATGTGAAGTCTTCCCTTTTCTGCTGAATAATATTTTAGTATGTCCAGGTAGCCTTCCTTAGGGAAAGCCTTTGAGATTAATACTTGATTATGGAGAGCTGAGGTGCAGACAGCCAACTTGTAATTAGTTCTATGAGCATGAAGGCAATGCTGAAAGCTTCTCATTTGATGTTCTAACATCTAAATTTTCAATATCTAAAGCAAACTGTAGCACTCTGTTGTGTCAAGGTCATTGTAACAGCATGTCTCTTATCACAGATGCTTTTCAGGGACTCTGTCTTACTTCTAGTGTCCTGTAAAAACATGGTATGTTTGGGATCTTACACAGATGCTTTTCAGGGACTCTATATTACTTTTAGTGTCCTGTAAAAACATGGTATGTTTGGGGTTTTTTGCTGGGTTTGGGTTGTTGTTTTTTTTAAAGGCCAGATCTGCCCTGAAATGTAACCTTAAGTTGGCCAAATTTCAGAAGGTCAGATCTGCCCCCAAATGTAACCTTAAGTTGGCCAAATTTCAGAATACTTTGAACTGTGCCTACTAGGAGAGGATGTGATGATTGCTTTAAATACTTCTGCTGCTTTATCCGATACTCAAAGTTTCTTTGTTTTCAGAAAGAAAAAAAAAAAAAAAGGGAAATTTAAAAATGAATGCATTTGCTATTAGCTTCCAAATAAGCTAACATCAGAGATAGAAGACTAAAATATTACCTCTTAGATATTTTTAGCTGAATGAGCTTCAACCTTGAGCCCTATACTCAAAGTTTCTTTGTTTTCAGAAAAAAAAAAGGGGGGGAAATTTAAAAATGAATGCATTTGCTATTAGCTTCCAAATAAGCTAACATCAGAGATAGAAGACTAAAATATTACCTCTTAGATATTTTTAGCTGAATGAGCTTCAACCTTGAGAGAGAGGATTTGGCTCATTAATGCATTCTTTGTTTGAAATTGCAATTGGAATTTCGTAGGCTAATGGCAGCCTTTAGGATCTCCGCTTTTTGTCATGCTTAGTGCTCAGTGAGGTTGATCTTGCACTGTTCTCCAAGGAGCATAAACATTCATTTTAAAGAAAGTGAAGCTAATTTTTTTCTTTTTTCCTTTTTTTTTTTTTTTTTGGCGTGCTGCTTCTAAAAGAGCAATATCAAGGCTGAACCATGTGGCACAGAGAAAAGTGTAGTAGTTCATTTTATGGTATGAGTTGTAGTTCATAGTTTATGTGCATGTGTCTTAGAAAAATTTGGCTCTGATATTTTGAGGTTACTGTTTTGATGTTGCTGTGATTGTCACTGTCTACACAAGCAGAAGTCACGCCAATTCATCTGGTCATAGCTGAATTGAGACTGGCATTTTTATTAGGAGGTCTTTTACACAATACTTGACTGTGCCAATCCTGCTTAGTATTATGGGGAGCAACACTAAGCTTCTTTTTGGTATCTCCTTAGGAAAAAAGTGTTTTTCACTCTCTTTGTGTCTCATGAGACATGACCCTCTTGCAGAGGAGCCTTTTTTTTTCTTGCTTTTAGAGGTTAGAATTCATCATACTTTCTTAGGCATAGTCTTTGGGTTTCTGTGCATCAGGAATACCTTAAAAAATGGGGAGGTGGCAGGAAGCATAGTAAGTATAGGAGTTGGATTTATAGTCAGCATCTGAACCTGCCAAGGCCTGTGGGTATTTCCACGGCTATGAAGGGTGAGGTTGCCGTTGATATGTAAGTAATTCTTGTGTACGCCCATTTACAGCTGCTAAAATAGCATTTTTGGAAATCAGTTGATATTTCAACTCCTCAGATGGTAAAGAAGAGCTGCTTGAGGCCCAGGCTGCTGCTCTTCATATGTGTAGTACGATCCTAAAAGTAGAGTTATGGAGCTTTAGCGGTACTTGAGGTTAGGTTTAAGGGAAGGTACAAACATAAATAAATACTCATGAAAACACAGAAGTGCAATGATTACTAAGCAGCAATAAATACTTAGTGTATCTTTTAAATGAGAAGGTTAAACGAATGTATATGGTTTCCATAATGTGGGGTTTTTTTCTGAGAACGATGACTGAGATGCAAGTATGTTGTTTTATCTCTGGACTAATTTTTTAGCAAATTAAAATGGAACCAGCCTAATTTAATCATATGCAAGTGGCAGGGCCACAGCTGTTTTGAAAGCTGGCAAAATAATGAAAAGTATGGTATTAGCTCTGAAAATATTTTGGGATTATTTTAAGAACACCCATATAAAATAGCTGTTATGAACAGCAGTTGAGGAAATTTAAACTCATCAATACTTGGTAGCTAAATGAGTTCCATACTCAATATAGTCTTCAGGCTGAAGACTTCCTTAAGCTCACTTCATAACCTTTTCTATCTAGGATCCTGTCGTTTTAACTCTTGGTATTTGTGTTTTACTTGTCATCATCCTCTCTTTTATCACTTAAGTAAGCTACTGTGCTGTAGTTTGTCATCACAATTATGAGGTTAAGTAGGAACTTTTCATCTTCAAGATGGACCAGTTGACTTTGATCTAGTGTTTTAATTTTGATTTTATTTATTTTCTTTGCATTGGGCTTCAGAATCATCATGGGTTTTCAAAGTATTTTCTATATTTGTCTTACAAAGTCTTTTTTTTTCTATAGCCTTATTCTTTTTTAGGGATCTGACAAACTCATGTATATTCTTTAATTACATCAGGTAATCTCGACTTGTGCTCTATAATTTTGGATTCACTTTTGAAGGTTATATTTTGTTTTGTTTGTTTTTGCAGCTGCTTCTGTCTTCTTAAATGTTGTTTTACTGATGTTCTTTTATTTGTGTAATGGGTAGCCCCATAAAGATTCAGAGAGTTTCAAAGCTATCTTTTCCAAGGCGGTATTTCTAAGGCGAGGTTTTCCAAGATTTAGATGCAAATACATCTCTTACTTTTGTTCATGTTTGGGTTTTGGTGAGCAGAGGCATAATAAAGGAGTTGATTTTTGAACAAAGTTTTAGGTCGTAGTCTAAAACATGAAGTCAAGATCCAATAAAGTATTTTAAGTGCCCAGTCTAAGTTGGAACTGCTCTTTCTAAAATTGTGATCCAGCCCTCACGCTTCATAGGAACTTCCAGAATTCCCTGATTATACAGGTGTGGTCTTGCTGTCTCTCTCACACGCTGCCTAATGAAAGCACAATGACCACAGCAGCTTCCCATAGCATCCTGTATTAATTACTTTCCACAAATTTATTTGAACGTTCAGTGGGGAACTAATGGACTGTAGACACATTTACTTCTGAAAAGTGATGTATGGTAGGTCAGAAAAAAGTCTAGGAGTAGATTATGATGATATGCTCAAGGTTTGTATTATAAGACCTATTGAGGCATATCTTAAAATTTTAAAATGTTCAAAATCTTAAATGATTTGCTCGTTATCTGATGTTTGTTTGATAATTTGGAAATGTTTCCCTGCACATGCAGGTACGGCTCTGCCAGGAGCCATATACATGGCTCAGTTTCATAAACATGTCTGCAGCTACCTCTGTGAGAACTTAATATCCTATGGAAAGAGAAGTGGTAGTGCTTTGAGCAGAGGCAATCGTGTGGAGTCTGTTCGAATCTGTGAAGTTGGTGAATGCTTTGAACACCTGAAAATGAGGAGCAGAGGAAGGAACACCTGCTTTTTACTAGGACAGGAAGATGAAAAAAAGTAGTTTTAATTGAAAGTTTCAGCAGATCTGAAGGCTTATAGCTTGCCTGATGGTAGTCAGGTTTCATCAACAGGGGAAATTAACAGATCAGGAGAGGATGAATGTCCTCGGCGTTTCATATCAAAGCTATTATGTTATGACCAAAATGACACAAACAGAAATCGTAGCACTTGCTTCAGTGGGCTTCGGTTTTAAGTCTGCTTGCCTAAGAAGTTGAGGTAGTGAGGGTGCAGCAGTCCTTGGTAGATGATGAAAACACCTGACAGCTGTCAGTATCTTCATGTGAACAGCGTACAGCTTTTGGGAAGAAACAATAACACAGAAAAAGAAGGCAGAGAAATAGCAGATGTGCTCAGAAAAGAGTAATGGAATATCCGCCTTGTATTCTGTCTGCTGTGGATCTCATTATACTTCTAATTTCTGTTTCCTTTCTCTTTTTTCTTGGTCTGCATTTGTTGTCACATTGTTCTAACATGTGCAGATGCCAATATACTTCAGAACATTTGTTTATATACTGTTTAATTTTTTAAAACTGCTACATACATGTAGCTGTGTCATATTAAATATTTTGTAATATTTGTTCCTCATAAAAAAGGGAGATAGAATATTGTGAGCTGATGGTGTAGGGGTTTTTTTTCTGATCTTACAGATTATTGCAACCTGTAACTAAAATTGTTTAAATATTATAACCTGTAGTAACCAAACTGAGAATAACATGTCCTTAAAATGAGAGGAAAACTGTAAAAAATTCTTCTTGTGCTTACATTCTAACAAAAGATCTTCTTTAACATGGCTGTTAAAGTCGCTTTTTTATCTTCACAGGTGATAATGCATGTCGTGTTAATAATGGAGGCTGCAGCACTCTTTGTTTAGCCATTCCTGGAGGCAGAGTTTGTGCCTGTGCTGATAATCAGCTTTTGGAGAAAAACAGTACAACCTGCACGAGTAAGATCTTTAAAGAATATCTGAGTTGATGCTACTGTTAAGGGATCAAGTCAAATCGGAAAATAAACCAAGAAAGTGCAGTCTCCTAGAGCCTTCTGGCAGTTCTATAAGACAAAGAACTATTCGTTAAATAAAGATGGTTTATTAAATGAAATAAAGATTTTTTCAAAAAATACAAAATATTAAGTACACAATATCTGAGGATAAAATATAGTGGAAAATATTTTAGAATATCTGACGTGATAAAGCGCTTAAATATTTGCTGACCTCTTTTAATGACTTTAAAGACTATCAGAAATACCAGAAGATGTTGTGATTAAATCTATAAAAATAGGTTTCGGATTATTATATGGACTAAGTATCTTAAATTAAAATCTGGCATAGAAAATGTTCATGCTGAAACTGTTCAGAAAATATGTCAAGCAGATATATTTGTATATAATAGGTCCTTACACAGACTACACAAATTTCACTGTCTTTTAAATCTCTACCTTGGATATCTTCATTGAAATGCTGATTAAATTAAAAAAAAAAAAAGTGTTAATAATAAAATGTGGGATTTTCAATTAAAAAGAATAGTTCATCAGATAATGCAGGTATTTTTTAAATGTTTAGACTTGATATTTGTAACTTACTCTAAATTCTCTGGGGCTTTTTTGTTGTTGTTTTTGGTTGTTGTTTGTTTCTTAATCTCATTGATCTATTTCTTGAAGTGTAGTGTGTAAAACTTTACATAGGTCTCCAGCAATAAGCCTAATAGAGACGAGTAAAGGTTAAGGATTATTTCATAACATGATGAACACTATTGAGCTTGCAATTACCTTGAATTTGACCCAAATGCATGGCTACCAGAGCCATCACTGTTGCTAAAGAAAACTATTTTTCTTTTTAGCAGAAAATACTGGAAGGTGGACTTCTCACTGGTAAGATGGAATGTAAGCATTAGGAAGAGAGGTTAGATACTTTCAGATCTGAATGAAGCAGGTTCCTGCTTTTTTTGCCCAACGCACTTTATTGCCCGGCTTTTTCCAAGGACTTTGATGTTCCTCACAGGGTCATAGAGCGATTTGATGTATTTACACGATAAGGATTCTGAACCTCATGTTGGGAAATGTATCTGTCTGGATTTATCAATAAGCTTGTAGCTTGCTGCTTAATTCTACCTCAGCAGAATTTTATCCTTTCTTCTTTGCCGAGTCTGTACCAGTGCATAATGCAGGTGTTTGAGTTGTTGCTTGGATACAAGAATCAGATTTTTCAGTAATCATTTTCTAGCCCTTTAATGTGCACCAGAATTTGGTCTGCATCTGTAAGAATATTTTCACTGTTGATGAGGCATTGCAATATTTTAAACTGGTATTTTTACGCTATCAACAAAGCACCAATTTAAAAAAACAGTTCGAGTGCCATTCTGTTCTGAGTTCTTCCATTTATTAAAAATATATTACCTCAACCATACACTCAGATATGCATGCTGCTACAGGCTTCAGGTGGAATTACATCAAATATGCAAAGTTTTCTAAAAAAAACGTTCTGAAGAGCGATAACAAGAATTTACATCTATTTATGTAGAGGTAGTATTGCATTCTGTATGCATCAAGCTGATAAAATAGATGCGCTTTTTGGCTGTTTTTCCTAGTTAAACACGGAGAAGTGCTGCCACAGTTGTGCAAAGCTGAGCAGTTTCAGTGTAACAACAAGCGCTGTATCCAGGATCGCTGGCGCTGCGATGGGGACGATGACTGTCTGGATGGCAGTGACGAGCACTCTGAAATTTGCTGTATGTATGCTTTTGTATTTTTAACCCACACTTCATACTTAATTTTAAAATTTTGAAACAAAACGGTGTAAGTCTGAGGGGAGTCAAACCCAAGCGATAACCCTGACGTCATTCATGTCAATCTTTCTTTTTCTTCTTTTCCTGCATGCAATAATAGTTGTCCTTTCAAATGACACTCGTGTACTCATTTCACAACATAGTACCAGAGCAGTCATCTTTTGGTTTTGACATCATCAATTCTGATTCTTTAAACATTAGGTTTTTTTGCTTTTTTTTCCCCACTGTTGCGCTTTTTTATATGGGTCACAGGCTAATTCAGATTGGAAGGGGCCTCAGAATATCTCTAATCCAACCTTTATAAAGCAGAAACAGCCTTCTCTCAACCTCTGAGGAAAGCGATGGAGCTATTAGTCCTGGAAACCATTTCCAAAGACGTGAAGGACAAGAAAGTGATTGGGAGTAGTCAGCATGGATTTATGAAGGGGAGGTCATGCTTAGTCAACCTCATAGCCTTCTACAAGGATGTGACTAGTTTGGTGGATGAGGAAAAAACAGTGGATATTGTTTATCTCAAGTTTAGTAATGCTTTTGACACTGTCTGCTGTAACATCCTCGTAAACAAGCTGACAAGGGTTAGGTAAGCAGGCAGTGAGGTAGATTGGAAACTATCTAAACAGCCAGACTTCGGGGCTTGTCATCAATGGCACGATGTCCAGTTGGAGCTAAGTCACTAACAGTGTACCCCCCTCCAGTAATGACTGGGACAGAGTGCAAACTCAACAAGTTTGTGGGCGATACCAACGTGGGAAGAGTGGCTCATGCACCAGATGAACGTGCAGTCATTCAGAGGTAGAATAACTCCAAGCATCAGCATATACTGGTAGCCTTGCAGATAAGAAGACCTTGGGGTCCTGGTGGGCAACAAGCTGACCATTAGCCAGCAATGCACCTCATGGCAAAGAAGGCCACGGGCATCCTGAGCTATTTTAGGAAAAGCATCACCATCACGTTGAGGGAGGTGATCCTTCCCCTCTGCTCATTCCTGATGAGGTCATATGTGGAGGACTATGCCGGGTTCTGAGCTCCCCAGTATGAGAAAGATAGTGACTAACTGGATCAAGTCCAGGAAAGGGACCACTAAAATGATTAAGGGACTGGCAAACCTGTCCCAGAAGTTGGGAGAGCTGGGATTGTTCAGTCTGTGGGGAAAGGAAGGCTCAGGAGGGATCTTACCAATGTATATAAATACTTGATGGGAGGGAATGAGAAACAGGGAGCCAGGCTCTTCTCAGTGCCAGGGCAAGAGCTAATGGATGCAAACTGAAAAGCATGAAATTTTATCTGAACACAAGAAAACATGTTTTTATTGTGAGCATAGTCAAACGCTGGAGTAGATTGCCCAGAGAGGTTGTAGCATTTCTGTCTGTGGAGATACTTGAAACTCATATGGGCACAGTCCTGGGCTACCTGCTCTAGTTGGCCCTGCTTGAGCAGGAGATTAGATTAGGTGATCTGAACAGGTCCCCTCCAACCTTCAACATTTCTGAGATTCTCTAATGTTTTTCTTGCATGAAATTTTATCTGAATACAAGAAAACATGTTTTTATTGTGAGCATAGTCAAACACTGGAGTAGATTGCCCAGAGAGGTTGTAGCATTTCTGTCTATGGAGATACTTGAAACTCATATGGGCACAGTCCTGGGCTACCTGCTCTAGTTGGCCCTGCTTGAGCAGGAGATTAGATTAGGTGATCTGAACAGGTCCCCTCCAACCTTCAACATTTCTGAGATTCTCTAATGTTTTTCTTTAAAAAACAAATAAACAAAATAAACAACAACAACAAACTACACCACAAAAGCCCCACCAAGAAATCCAAAGAAAAACAAAACCAGCAACAGCAAAAAACAACCCAAACACACACACTTCCAATTTTAAATTAGTTGTACTTTGTCTTTAAAAATACAGTTTTACTAGAGCTGGATTGTTTGGTTTTTTTCTGTAGAGGAGTCTTGATGTTGAAATGAAAAAGAATAGAAAACATCCTATCATGTATCTGTGTTGTTCCTGGAGGATACTTAGCCTGCTATAAAATTAGAGTTGCAGCAGTGAAAATTCCTTTTCATACTCATTTTGTCACAGTGCTTCCTATTTCTATCATTAGATCATTTCTCTAAACCAAATCTCCTTTACTGAAATGAAAATACATTTTTCCCTATCAATTGTAGACATGAAGAACTGATACATTCTTCTGTGCAGCGTTGTTCTGTGTCTGAAAACCCTTATCGTCGTCTCTCATTTTTATCTCTCTGAGACAAAAACAACTCTAATCTGTTCTTTTTTTTCCAGTAGATTATGGGGTTTTTAGATTTCATTGCTCTTTTCTGAACTTTGCTAAGATCCTTGGGGCTCAGTGTCCAAAACTGGATGTATGTACTTCTGCAGAGGCCTTTGTGGAGCTGATCAGGCTGAGGGAATGTGGTTGTGAGGGATGATAGTCTTGTTTGTACATTCCTGGGTAAATCTTTTCTGCGTCGCAGTGGCCTGATGTTGCTGATACACACTGAGCTTGTGATCCTCCGTAATGCCTCCGTCTTTTTCTGTTTGGCTGTTACATAGCCAGTTTTGTGTTTTTCCCACATTTATGTATTTTGATAGCTCCACGTAGTAGTCATTATAGATTTCCATCCTAATTCTTTTCAAAACATTTGTACAGTTCTGAGTTCTTGTGCTTACTGATATTTTATTTTAATACCAGATTTTCTTACGCTAAAATAAGGAGCTCAACTAATAAAGACAGTGAGAAAAAAAGTCTTTTTGGCAGAGTTGACTTGATTTTCATTTAAGTTATTGCAATTTAGGACAATTCATTGACCAAAGCTTGTAATTCTCAAAGGATTTATACAGATATAAATGAAATCGTAAACTATATATCACATACAGTTTTGGGACCAGATTAAGTGATCAGTATGATAAAAGTAATCTCTTTTCAGCAGTTGCTTTAGTAACTTCAATAGTTCTTTTTGACTTAGTCTGAAATGTTTGCAATCATGAATAGAACACGCAAACAACATGGTAGTAAATATATATAAGCAAAAACTTAACTACTGTTTAAAACAGTATCGATGTCTAGTATTGAACTGCAGTAAAAAAAAGTCTTTAATTTTTAATTTTATTCCATGAATGATACAGTCCTGTTCTCCAGTCACATCGCAAACTATGTAATTATTATGAGCCTTGAAACGCTGTTCTTCTCAGTTTATTAATTAATCTTTACTTTCAATGTTCTGGCACCCTACGCACAAAGCACTCGTGAAGGGTTCATGTGCTATTGATACCACACTTCCTCTGTGTTGTTTTCAGTAGGAAGAATAGGTAGAAAGGTCAAAGATAAAAGCTACTGAAATGTCAAGGATAAGCCTGCAAGACGTCCTTTCATTTTAAATACCATTTGTTTCCAGATATATGTTAAACTTTAAAAAAAAAGAGACTGTGGATGGCTGAGTAGGTGGAAAATATCTTGAGATTATTTTTAACCCAGCATTTGAAATTGTGTATAGTTTACTGCTCTTGTGTAGATCAAGTTTAGCAAGAGCTGCTAATAATAGACCCTGTTATTAGCACAAAAGAAGCAGAACATATATACTTCAGCTGCAAGAGCAGGCCAATAGCATTTTTACATAACTCCATCCTTTCCATGACACTTGGTAGCTAGCAAAAACATGTTTTTCAGATGCCTTGTTCACTCTTGAATAACAGGTTTTGTCAGTTTTACACTGTGTTGCATATTTCATTTTTTGACACCTACAATTTCATGGTAAGTAAACAGCAGATCTATGGGTGGTCATTGACAGTAATGTGCATCAGTTTAGAAGCGTTTTATAACCTTCCCAAATCCCTGCTCGCTGTGGTATAATATTTTGGATACGCACAAGGCAACTTGCACCTGTTCCCTTTGGTGTTTTGTTTATATGCACTTCAGTTTGCAAACCTTGTCGCATTGATAAAGTGAGATTGAGGATATTTTTCTTTAAGGAAATAAAATCATTGTAAAATACTGCTACTTTTTATCACCTTGTAGTTAATAGAGGACGATCTCTGTATTGACACTAGTGTGATAGGAGAATCTTTACTATGTATTGTTTAATTTATGATCAAAGTACTGCAATATTTTTTAATTGACTGGTTTGCTGAGCAATTTTTATATCACAGTCATTATCTATACAAGATAATAATACTAACTGCATCACCAGGGAATACCATTTAATGTATTATTTTCAGCTGGTTTTCTCTGATTATTTCCTCTTTTTTTTCTCCCCAGTCAATCATAGTTGTCCTGATGATCAATTTAAATGCCAAAATAATCGCTGCATTCCCAAAAGGTGGCTTTGTGATGGAGCTAATGATTGTGGTAATAACGAAGATGAATCAAATAAAACCTGTGCAGGTAAAAATTTTACTCGGTTGTGCATAGAAGTTCTCTAACTCCAGTTTTATAAACAGTTCAAGACTGAACTGAACCAGTCTGCTACTAGTAATCTGATTATTGCCATTTTAAATCAATTCGGATTTTGATCCCACTAAGGCTGGAATATAAATTATATTTTGCTTAATCTTTGTGCTTGACTGTGCTTTCCAAAGTAATTCAGCACTTAATCTGTCCATGTGGGTTGACTGTCAAAGCACTGCTTAGGTACAAACTTGTCCCTGCTAAATCTTTTTTGGCAGTTAGAATTTTGTTTGTTAACATGCTGTGATCAGTGCCATGTCACTAGCAAATTTTATTTTATGCTGACAAAAGCGTAATTAGCTATTCAGTTTCCCCTTGGTAGCTTGAAACTGCTTTCACTTGTAAGTTATTAACTGTATAGTGGATTTTTAAGGAAATACCAAGGTGAAGATTGTTTACTTATTCCACTGCAATAAATCATGGAGTTCTAAGTCTGCCCTTTGCATGTATGGAAGTGATGTTTAGTGCTGATCAGCAGAGTAGACTAAACAGTCATTAAATATGTGATGTACAAAATAATCAATAGACATCAATAAGGTGATGACCGCTTAACACTGAAATGCAGTGATAGACAGCAGACATTGTGTATTAAAATATTGCCTGAACTCATTTTCATTGATTTAAATTTTTGTGTGTAGTAAGCTGTTCACCTTGTTACTTGTGCAGTCTGGCTAAAAGCTCTCTGGTGCAAATGCAGACCTAGAGTGTCCATATCACCTCTACAGTATTAATGTGGATTCTAATACTTCTTGATATCCTCTGATATTCAGGGGTTTCCTTGTAGGATAAGAGTCTGATTTGAAGACCGTATTTGCATCCCTATGTCATTTGGCTCTGGGTTGAATTCTGTATTCTTGTTTTTTCCTTTTTTTTTTTTCCTTCAGTGGCAAACACTATTCATGTTTTAAAAAACAATATTTTAAACTTCTATTCTTCTA